AAATATATATATGTAAATGCAATAATATCTTTAACACACAATATCAAATTGCATATTTAATAATGCCTAAAGACAATTTATTGGAATGAATACTTGAGTAAAATAAAAAATATTGACGTGTTAATGTTACTGTTACACGATTTTTAAAAAAGGATCTGTAGATGTCATAATTTCCAAATTTAAGCCAAATTCCTCGCGAACATAGTAAAATATATGTACTAAAAAGGAATAGAACTCAACAACCCATCAATATTTTGAAAAAACTCTCTGTCACGTTAAAGTTTGGGTCATAATCTGAGCTATTTTTTTAAAAATGATATACAGAAATAAACTTCTATTCTTTTAAAATCACACACAGAATTGGTGGTTTAAGAGGTCCCGCGCCATACTAATAGATATAATATGGGGCATGCTACAACAAAACCAGACAAAGTGAAAATTATGTCACACACTATTACAGGGATTCAAATTGCCTAATGTCTTTATTTTCGATTTTTAAAAAAAAAAGTATTATTGTTATAGAAAAATTTTTGCCATAATAAAAATTATCAATATTTTAAAAAATACTAGATTTAAATGTAAAAAAAAAACAAGTCCGTACTAATTATGAGCATTGTTATTATAAAAGCCATATAATATTGGCTTTTTTTTGAGAGGCATATTGAATGTTTTGATTAATCTTTCTATTTCATCAATGCCTTCACCATTTTCTTTGTCATCACCATTATTACTATTACCATTATCTGTAGTGTTGGAAATGGAGGTGGTGCTGTAAGAGCTATTTCTTGGAGAATAACTATCGTAAAGTGAGTGCTTAGGTAATGGGGAAATTGGTGGATTGTGGAAATCGTTATACATTGTCAAAAAATATATATTAATATTAATATAGACAAATCATTTAAATATTATTTTATATTTTTAAATCACCAATAATATTTTAGTATATAGAAAACATAATTAGTAATTTTGTGTATCTATTTATTTTTTAACACAGTCGACGTTCGATATAGTAAATCGTACAAT